TTCTCATTATGCCTTTTTCCACTAGATTAAACAGCCCTTTAGTACCCAATATATTCTCCCCGTGAAGTTATAAAACTTCTAACAAGCCTAACAGTCATCATACTGCATGTGGCTGGTCCTAGGGACCTGTGAATCTTATTTACTAATCTGTAGTGACATGCATAATGGTCTGATTAGATTCCACAGAAACAGCCTTTTTTAAAAAAGGGAGGACGTTATTACTGATCTCAGATCTGAAAAAGCCACCAGGAAAATAATCTGATTGACTCTTCCCACATCTGTGGATTAAAAAAAACAAAACAAAAGCTCAATAATGGTTAAATTTGTTTTGAAAATAAATAGGAAGCACATGCTGAAAATCATTTCAATTTAAAAAAAAACAAAACCAACCTCAAATCACAAATTTGAACCAGGCATTATTTTATGGAGAATTTTGACAGAAACAGCATTGCAACTTACCAGCTCTTTGGTCTTTTAGTTGCAAACTCCATTTTTTTAAGTCTGAGTCTCTGTTGACATGTCATCCGTATGACCTCTTTTCGCCCAATATTATAAAGAAAACCAAATGCTGGGCTTGTACACATTATTGTTTAGGGTGATTAACAATATCATCATGTATTTACATAGCCCCTTTTATCCAGACAGGTCCCAAAGTATTTTGTAAACTGTGTCTAAAAGAATCACTCACCCACCACTGAACTTCAGCCATCTTTGAGGGGAAACATGGCAGCTGTTTAACAGGGCACAGCAACCCCTGCATAGAAGCATTGGGCACCCCCTCCCACAACCATTCCATGCATGGAATTCCCATGGATCTCAAAGGGGGCCCTGTGACTGGAAAGCTTGCTGGATGGAAATCTCGGGCAGGAAGTGATAATACCATTGCCATCTGAAACTGCAGAGGTAACCGAGGTAGGCAGGTACATTTGTTCAATTTGGAGTGAGATCTTTTCACGCCCTTCTATTTGCTAAAAAGGTTAGGCAGTGACAAAGAACTGGACTGGGACTCAGGACACCTGGTTCTGTTCCAGGGTCTGCCTCTGGTCTGCTAAAAAGTCATTTAAGCCCAAGGTTTTCAAAGTATATAGGCACCTAAAAATGCAGATTTATGCCTAGCAAGATTTTCAAAAGTACCTTAGGCAGTGTTGGCATTCCATGCCTCAGTTTCTCCTTCTGTAAAATGGGAATAATGATACTGACCTCCTTTGTGAAGCACTTGGAGATCTAGGGATGAAAAGCACTGAATAAGAGAAGGTATTATCAACAGGCTTTCAACTGTATACACCATCTGAAAGACAATACCTCCAGGAAAGAGCTCCCGCTTGGTGTAGAGGATATTTGAAATTCACTAGCTGTGCTAAGAACAAAGGTTTTGCTTACAACTTGTTACTTCTATGGATTCTACTATTGCAATACCAATACCTATTGCCAAATATGTGACTAGATTTGTAAGGACAAGCTGAACCACAAAAAATAAAATTGCAGTTTTACTACTCCTCAAGTGCTAAACCAGAATCGATCCCCAAACCAATGTATAATAGCATTGTGTGTGTGTGTGTTTATTTTCATTTTGGTGTACTCCCAATTCAGCAAGTACTTAAACATATGCCTTGTTTTAAGCACGTGAAGTCAATGGGCCTGTTTACATATTTGAAGTCAGGCATGTGCATAAGGAACCTGCTGAATCAGGGCCTGGGTTTGCTGCTTTTTGAGAAAGGGTTACCAGTGTTAATGCTGGGAGGGCAATGAATGGCTGCTGTATTGTCTGCTGCATCATCTGATCAAAAGTACGAGCTTGCAAATGTGATACCATAGCAGGTTATTTGGCTCGGGGAGACTGGGAGCTTTCCAGATTCGTATAATGATTCTGTAAATGGAAGGGGGAAACAGAAGGTCAATCACTGCTGAACCAAGTTGCCCATTTATTACATGCTTTGCTGTACATTTTACTGAAGACATTTTATCACAGCCAAAAAACTCCAATATGCAACAATTCTGCATTGGCCAGAGGATGGACTAGGTGCTCTAAGAGGTATTTTCCGGCTCTAATATCTGTGGTTTATTATATATTGTTAAATTAATTAATGGGACTATATAACGTGGTTGGTTGAAATAGCAGACAACTGGATTTGATGACCCAAGAGATCCCTTCCAGTCTTATGTTCCTGGTTAGCTGCTGACCCTTTTGTCTGTGATTTTATGCAGACACAGCCAGTGCAAATCATTATAGCTCTCACACCAATTTATACCAGCGGTGACTCTGGCCACAGATTGTTATGTTGACTGTGCTTGGTGGGGGGGGGGATATTTTTTATTAGAATTTATTAAAATGTTTTTCTTTTACATCCCTATTTTTGTTCAACATCTTCATTAATGATCTGGATGATGGGATGAATTGCACCCGCAGCAAGTTTGTGGATGACACTAAGCTGGGGGGAGAGGTAGATATGCTAGAGGGTAGGGAGAGGGTCCAGAGAGACCTAGACAAATTGGAGGATTGGGCCAAAAGAAATCTGATGAGGTTCAACAAGGACAAGTGCAGAGTCCTGCACTTAGGACGGAAGAACTCCATGCCCTGCTACTGGCTGGGGACTGACTGGCTAAGCAGCAGTTCTGCAGAAAAGGACCCGGGGATTACAGTGGACGAGAAGCTGGATCAGTCAGCAGTGTGCCCTTGTTGCCAAGAAGGCCAATGGCATATTGGGCTGCATTAATAGGAGCATTGCCAGCAGATCAAGGGAAGTGATTGTTCCCCTCTATTCGGCACTGGCGAGACCACACCGGGAGTTTTGCGTCCAGTTTTGGGCCCCCCACTATAGAAACGATGTGGACAATTGGCAAGAGTCCAGCGGAGGGCAATGAAAATGATTAGGGGGCTGGGGCACATGACTTATGAGGAAAGGCCGAGGGAACTTGGTTTATTTAGTCTGCAGAAGAGAAGAGTGAGGGGGGATTTGATAACAGCTTTCAACTACCTGAACGGAGGTTCCAAAGAGAATGGAGTTCAGCTGTTCTCAGTGGTGGCAGATGACAGAACAAGGAGCAAAGGGGTCAAGTTGCAGTGGGGGAGGTCTAGGTTGGATATTAGGAAACACTATTTCTCTAGGAAGATGGTGAAGCACTGGAATGGGTTACCTAGGGAGGTGGTAGAATCTCCATCCTTAGAGGTTTTCAAGGCCCAGTTTGACAAAGCCCTGGCTGGGATGATTTAGTTGGGGTTAGTCCTGCTTTGAGCAGGGGGTTGGACTAGGTGACCTCCTGAGGTCTCTTCCAACCCTAATCTTCTATATACTTTCAGACTGTCCCATGAGAAATGTGGCTACATGGGCTGTTTACTGCCTCGAAGTCCTGTTTCACTGGTGATTAAGAAAACTGCAGAGAGAATCTGTGGATACCAGCATGCACATTAGATTGTCACAGGCGTTTCTATCATTTTTCACCTTGTTTGCCAGGAGAATGCACTGCTTCTTTGAGGATAATCTACTAGAGGTGCTCCAAGATTTGCTATACTCGACTAATGCTGTCACACTGGTGCACATGATTGCTTATTAATTACTGAATGCTGGTAGTGAGTTTGATGCTGTTCATTACATAGAAGCAGACTCTGTCTGACATGGGGCTTGCAGTTTAAGAGCAAAAACATGGGCATAGATGGGACTTTTTACTTTGGATTTCACTGGGACCAGAATTTGGTCCTTGTGACATATAGGGTAATTTCCTGCAATATCTTTGGGAGATCTGACTGTATTAAGTTTATGTATCATTGTAGACCACCCAGGGACCATATGTAATTCCATTGGGGATGGTAACCACAGCCCCTCCAGGAACTAAGAACAGTGGGGTGGTGATTAGGCAAATTCACTTTAGGGAGGCTTGCCTATACTAGTTCAGACTGGATTCTCCAGAGGCCAACAGACACAAAAAGGACTTTTCAATAATTAGTCTGAGTTTAACCTGATGTAAGGCCATCTTTCTGGTCCAGTCAACAGACAGGACCTACTGTCCAAGGGACACCCCAGTCCTTAGGGAAGGGTTGGAAGGACTAACACTGACCGGAGTTCTTGTGGAGTTGTGGGGCTGGTCTCTGGTAAACTTATCAGCAAACGGGTAGATTCTTTTATTGTTTTAATATGTTTTTTCTGTAACGCTTTTACCTTACAAATAAACATGCTTGCTTAAACAGAGATGCATGGTAACTTAAAACCATGAGCAATTATGCTAATGATAGCATCTGAGATGAAAAGCAAAGCAGGCCTATCTAGGCAGTCTGACTTGCTGGGGGAATTCAGAGTGTAGGCAGGGAACTGGGCCTGAAAATACCCCAGTCAAGGGGGAGTGAGATGCATGTCTCTGCCCAAGAGAGGTGATGGCTGGGGAGCCAAGAGGCCTACATGTCAGAGCCTTTGGTGGACCATAGAGGGGGGAAAAGGTAGAGTTGCCCTGAACTGTGACCGTCCTAACAGCATGCATAGCCACACTAAATGCCAGTCCAGTGGGAAGAAGTTTGGGTTTTTTGTTTATTTCAAAAACTCAGTGAATCATCAGTCATGTAGTTATTAGGCCAGACCCTCATCTGGTATAAACAGACATAGCTCCACTGAGTCCATTTCAAGTGTGTTGTTTTGACAGACAATTCCTTGTAGCCAGGGAAGAACTGAAGCTCACATCTCTAAGTTTGCACACATAGGCGTGGCCACGTGACTAGAGTCAGGACTCTGGGGTTCTATTATTGATTTTTTCACTAGGTTACATTAGGTAAGTCACTTCCCTGTGCTTCAGTTTCATACACGCACACACCCGCCCCCAGTAAAACAGATGAATAACACCTCTCATGCAGGGATGTGGTGAAATAATTAGCACAGTGAACTCTTCCATGGAAAGGAACTCTATCTGTTCAAACTATTGTTCTTATTACTGATTAGGAAGATGTAGACTCAGCAACCACTTGCATACTGAAAAAATAATCCTGTTTAATTTTGTCCTCTTGTCTTTTCTCCTAGCACGACCACGCTACCTTCCCACATCAGGATAACCAATGGCTACATCACAGTCAATCCTCCCGTTTGGTTTTCAAACCAACTGGATCAGAGACCACGTTCAGCTCTCCCGTTCCACCGTCAGCCAAAGAGCTCAGCTGCTGGCCGGGTATTGGCGCCATCCATAACTGCTTCTTTCTATGTGTCAATAGTGTCTTTTGTCCTGAGTCTATTGAGGCCTTCCTGACCAACCTAGGATTACGTGCAATACCTAAAATGGAGAACAGAGATAATTTATGAATGAGTGTGTGGTTTTCTCCATGACGGTTTCAACCTGGACCTTCTCACCAAGGAGAAATCGTAGTGTCTCTAGCTGGTTTTGTCTCTTAGCCCAGATATATTTTGAAACTCTAAAGCTTTATTGTAACACTGACTTACATCTTCTTTTTTGTAGAAGGATCTTTATTTCCCATAGTGCTATGGGGCTTTGTAAAATATATGTGTTCATATATATATAAAAAAAAAAAAAGTGTATTTATTCAACTGGTAAACTTATTTTTCTTGGTATTGGATATGTTAATAACATCCCCATTAAACAGTAGTGACGATGAAACAGATAAATTAATATTTTCTAGATTTGTTTTTTTTAACCAATGAATCTGAAATGACACCCAAAGATGCTGTTTTGGTCATTAAAATGTTACACTAACCCTCCCATAGGCAAATCTATGCTGATGGCTGAGATTAGTGGGGGGGAGTGGGGGGGTATATCCGTTTAGCATAATTTAGACATATTTTAGACAATTCATGCTGTCTGTGGCCTTGGTGTCACTAGGGAAAAAGGCATGTTCTTAACTCAAGTTAGGGAACCCAAGGTAAAATCCTCTTGAAGAAAAGACCATTTGTGGTTTTCATATGAGTTGGCAAGTCAAGATAAACCCTGAGCTTCCCCCACTGCCTTCAACTCAACCTGTAAGAAAAGTGGAGACTGTGTTGTCTTCTCTAGGATTAACAAACTAATACATTATGATAGCTAACTTCAGTCAAGAACTCACCTTTTTCCTAGTGAAAACACATGGCATCAGTCTGGAGTAATTCTGCGGAGTTGGTTTTTCCTCTCACACCCTTTTTGCATGAGTGTGACTCCTCACTGGATTTACTCCAGATTTACACAAGTGCTAATGAGAGCAGAATTTGCCCTACTTACAGGATTTAAATGTTTAATAGCATGCTAGTCTATAAAGCTTCTCAGCTGTGGCCACGCTTCACCTTGAGTAAGTTGGGGATGCAGAAGCATCGTAAAGTTCGCTTTTGTAGCCACGATCCTGCTGCTGTGATATGCGTGGCTGCTTTCTCTGTAACGTTCTGGCCTGATCCAAAACCTATTCAAATCAATGAAAAGACCCCCCCTGATCTCAGTGCGTCTTGGATTTGGTCCTTTCAATGGGTTTTGGATTAGGTTCTTAGAAGAGCATGAAGACAAAGGGCCAGATTCACAGCTGGTCTAGATCATGGCAGCTCCACTGACTTAAACAGAGCTGTGCCCATTCACACCAGTTGCAATTTTGGATCATTATCTATGTAGCTAGTTTTGAGCTTGGCAGTGGTGGAAAAAGTACATCTCTTGTTCATAATTCCAATCACACTTTGAAAGACAGCGCTAGAGAAAAAAAGAGATGGAACATATGAAACTTTGCCCAGGCTTCGTCCTCAAAGAGAACGAGTCTTGCCAGAAGATAGCTGGGTTAATAGACCTGGTCGAAATGTTTTCATCAAAACAGTTTTTAATGAAAAAACAAAATGACCAAAATGAAATGTGTTTGCAGAAAACTAGATTATATTTTAGAAGAATGGTGCAAACCTAGGCAGGTCCGCTGTTTGCGGAACTAGGCCTGTTTTTCCAGGGGCACGCACATAAGGCTTCAAGTGAAACGGAAGCCATCAAGCTTTGCCCCCAGTGACAGCTACAAGGATATCTCATGCATACTATTCCATTGTATATTTTGGTGTGTGGACGATTAGAGATGTTGGTTTTGGAAGGAAGCCATTCCCCTTCCATGATATTTATTGCACTGGGCCGTGTATTGCAAGCATGTTTTAGGAACTTCCGTTACAGCTTTATTTGAGCGGTTACACTGTTGAGGACTTCATTTGAATATAATGTCTTAAAAGGCCTTCAAATTCAACCTTAATGCACCTAAACCAGGGACGCTGTATAGTGTATTCTAGACAATGAACGGACCATCTGAACTGAGAACTGTGAACTCATTTAAGAATAAACTATCCCACAGTAAATGGACCCGCAGGTAATGCAGGTTTTCTTGGTGTGATGCTACAGTACAGAGGAAGATTATTATTACTTGAATATGGTAGCATAGCACCCAGAGACTCCAGATGAGATGGTGGCCCCATTATTCTAGGCGCTGTACAAACACACAGTGAGTGACAATTCCTGCCCCCAAAAATGTACAGTCTGAATCAGGGGTGGGCAAACTATGGCCCGGGGGCCTCATCCAGCCCTTCAGATGTTTTATTCCGGCCCTCGAGCTCCCGCTGGGGAGCAGGGTCCATAAGCGCAACCTGGAGCTTGCACCCCTGACCCACTCCAGCGCCCCAACCCCCTGTCCCAGCCCTGATCCCCTTCCCACTCTCCAAACCCCTCGGTCCCAGCCCAGAGCACCCTTCTACACCCCAGACTCCTCATCACCAGCCTCACCCAGAGTCCACACTCCCAACCGGAGCCGCCCCCCCCCCAAACCCCAACCTCCTGCCCCAGCCCAGAGCCTCCTCCCCCACCCTGAACTCCTCATTTCTGGCCCCCACCCCAGAACCCACACTCCCAGCCGGAGCCCTCACCCCCTCCCAACCCCCAATTTCGTGAGCATTCATGGCCCGCCATATGATGTCCATACCCAGATGTGGCCCTCGAGTCAAAAAGTTTGCCCACCCTTGATCTAAATAGGCAAGACAGAGAAAAGGTGGGAGGGGAACAAGAGATCCACAGCGCTGAAGTGAGTGCCCCAGGTCACTGGGAATGTCGGCGGCAGAGCTAGGAGTGGCACCCAGGTCTTGTGACTCTCAGGCCTCTGTCCTATCCATTAGACCAGACTGATTTTTTGTGGGGGACGGGGGGTTGCATCGTTTTAAGTCTATGGACATCTAGGAATTTCAGGGTTGTCATTAGGCTGCACACCATAGTCAGTCAGAACTTCACCCTAGCAGCAGGGATAGAACTCAGACCCTCCTGCTCCAAAAGCATGGGTTCCTACCGCCTGAGCTAAAGGAGAATCTCCGTTAGCATGATAAGACCTATGACATGCGGCTGAGTAGTCCTGAGTCTCTCTCATATAGGAGAATGGTACTCATACCCTTTAGCCCAATATACTACGATACTTATTCTACATGTATTCTAGTTATAGCTGTCACGTCCCAAGATTGCATCTGTATTTCAGGGGAAACAGGCATTGCCACCATTTATTTGAATGACTCTGTACACGGATGTTCAAACTTCATAGTGTGGTCCATGTTTTATATAGAGACTTCCTCCTGGAGACCTCCCCTTGCATTCAATATTAGGCCACTTTCCTTCCAATTCAAAATCCTAGAACATCTCTGTAGCAACTTCCTCATGTGGAAAAGTAATATCAGCTAAGTATTGAATTGATAGTTAGCTGATTTGAAGGCTATTTTGAAGCTGGAGCTAAGGAGAAGGACCTGTACTGGATGATCTAGCTTTCCACGGACTTTAGAGAACTGTGTTGAAGTCATTATCATAGAGGTTCCCTAACTAATTTGATAATATTCCCTGTGTGCTTTAGTGTACAGATATCTGTCCAGTTAACTGGTTCCAATCAACTGTTTTTAAATCATACCAGTAAATATGTAAGGGACTACAAAATGAGTATAGCATAGACAAAATGGAATATTTTAGTAATTAACTATGCTAACCCAGTACTAATAAAAATACGCTAATGCTAGATAGCACAGAGCTATGTTTCTGAAAGAGCCTTTATTCAAATGGGCCATGTTAATGTCATGACTGTTTTCCACATGAGTTTGGAGAGTGTCTATATAATTCAGAGGGGAAACATGTTGTGTACATAATAGTAATAACCACACACTACTAGCTTCATTGGGATTTTATTTCCCTTCTCTTTTTTGAGCCTTTAGGTTTCATATTTTCCAGCTTTTTTCAGCAACCCGGAGGGATAGAAGCTGATTTTTTCCCTGATGAAAACCGAGATCCTCATGTAATCACCTGAATCCAGGAGCTGGGGATTTTAGAAAAACACCAAATACCACAAAACTCACAATACAATTGTGAGAGTTTGGCATCATTGTTGTGGGACTTACACGTAATCAACAGATTTCATGAGATTTCTGCTACTCAGGGCCAAGATTTTGGCATTATTGAATCTGAACCTGAACACTCATCTGATTCAGGGTATGTCTACACTTACCGTGGATCAGTGCTGCGGTGCTTGATCAACCAGGGGTCAATTTAGCAGGTCTAGTGAAGACCCGCTAAATCAACCACAGATTGCTCTCCCATTGACTCTGGTACTCCACCGGAACCAGAAGCATAAGGTAAGACAACGAGAGAGTTTCTCCCGTTGACCCAGCACAGTGTAGACACCGCAATAAATAGATCTAAGCTACGTCGACTCTAGCTATGTTTTTCACGTAGCTGGAGTTGCTTAACTTAAGTTGATTTAACCCCGTAGTGTAGACCTGCTCTCGGTCTCACAGCAATCAATCGTAATACATCCTGCCCTATGTCCGACTGTGATACTGCAACTAATGCCAGTTAACGATCCAGCTGCTATCCCTGCTGAAAGGAATGTACAATACCACAATCGAAAGAGCAAAGGGACTCTATTTTACTTCTTTCATCGTTTCCCTTGCCAAAATGCATTGCCATTTGAAGAGCATGTATGGGGAGAGTGGGAGAGAAGATACATTGCATTTTGTGAATGGCATATTTTTGGTTCAAGCACTCTCGCCGTTGAATAATGCTATCGTCTTCCTAGAACTCTATTGGCAATGACTGCTGAGCATGATTAATGATAATTATGCTCTGCACAGGTGTCAAACTCCCCCCTTCCTTGAACCTCCCTGCTCAGTTCTGCAAACTCAGTTGTAGTTTAGGAACACTCAGTATGCAGTGCTGTGTGTTTATCTAACCTCTTTGCTATTGAGCTGGCAAGAGAGGCAGTAATCCAAGCCATCCTTAAGGCAGTGCTCAGTCTATTGGTATGAAGAGGTATTTCATTACAAAGCATCATCTATTTAGGACGTCAGTTTTCCACAGCATGTTACAGTTATGTCAGAGAAACCGCAGTGCTAAGGTTTAGCTTTTTAAAATCAATCAGCCCAGCATAAATGTCATTGTTCCAAATTGTCATTAAGTAACCTAAGGTATTTCTACACGTCATTTGGCCAAAATAACCTTGAGCCACCTCTCTTAAGTGATATATATTACATAGAGTGCTCTGGATTTCAACTTCAATTTTGAACCTGCTCTACCTGAGCAGAAGAAAACTCCAGCTGCCTGATTTTGATCTCAGTTCACCACTTTTTGCACCAGCATGATTCA